TCTATGATTCTATGACACGAGCCATTGCTTAGGCCATCTGTTTTTGGACTCTGGGCATGCTTGGAGGTGCTCAGGAGGCTGTGTAGCTCTCATGAAATAAAGCTCCATGAAATAATGGAGGAGGGGGAAAAATGGCAGGAGGGAAGATGAAATGGGCTATAGGGGCAGCAGAGAAAAGGTAAAATATATTCTAGCGGGGGAGGAATGAAAAAAGAATTGGGAAATTAAAGTGTTGAGAAAGAATGCAAGACACAAGGAAGGTAAGCTAATCCTGTCTTTTAATAGATATTTTGGTGGAGAACCAGATGTTAAGGTTCATGAGCTCTCCTTGTGCAGAGGCTGTGGATAGGACGAGCTGCTTTGGAGCAGGGAGCCGGCAACCTTTTCACACACACGGTTGCCCAATGTGCTGCCAAGCAGTGAGCGCCTGCTGGGACCATTCACTTCTGCCCCAGAACAGGCTGCTGCTTCTTTATGCTGATGGCAAATGATGTTTTTATCAATACTAGTGGCTAAATCAGTCTCCTGCAAGTAGGTAGTAGGATGGATTTCATGGACTGATACTATTTGTGGAAAGCATTTCCACCAGTCAAGTCTGGTCTGGTATCCTGTACCAATACTGAAATATTTTGTCAGTGGAAGCTCTGCATGCCTTTGCTTTGTCTGATTTGTACCAAACCTCTTCTCTAATCCTTTGCTAAATGTTGTATCTTTTTATCACGTTTTCATTGACAGCTTGTAAGCCTTTGCTATTTTAACAGTATTGTTTGGGAATTGCAGCCAAGTGGAGCATTGTAGTGCAAGTGATGGTGTCTTGTCTGTCTTCATGTAATGTTAGAGTAGCTTTCACATCATTCTTCATTTCCTTTAATGCTTCCTTTTCTCTTTTGACTGTGCTTCCTCAGAGTCTTTAATTTGTCTGCCTGCTGGTGCTTTGAGCACCCAGTGATACTCAAATATTGCCCTGTATAATGATTAATTGCTCTGTACCCCAGCAGCTTCTACAATTAGCACATTTTTTTACAGTGCAGCAGCCTAAGGCTATCTGTGCTGAATTTAAACAGCGTGGTGGCAAATACTCTTGTCTAAGCCCTAGAATTTATTTGTTTTCTTAAGTGCCTGTGAACCCCAACAGTGTGATTACTTTAAATTGCTGAGCTGCTTGACCCTCAGCTCTCACCTGAGGGCAGGCACAGCTCTTTGGTCTGAAGGTGATTTCACATTCTGGGCAGGCAATAAGCCGTTGTACAAGAGTGACATGGGGAGAGATGGAGAGCCTGAAGGAGATGGGAAAGGGCAACAGTGCTGCGGACCTTAAGATAGGGACAAAGGTGTGTTTGGGAGCCCAAGCAGGAGAGGATATCAAACGGCAGTAAGATAAGTGGGGCACGTGTTTTGGGGAAGCAGTGTGATGAAATACTGCCATATTCGCATTTCCTTTGTCCGTTGCCTGGCAAACTGGATATACAGTGTTCCCTTAACCTCCCTCAGAGGACTAAAAAGCATTGACAGAGCAGAGATCCTAGGTATTCAGAAGAAGCAAGAAGAAAACATTTCTTGAGGCAGGCCTTGGATATGCCTCTGCATGATATGAGTAGATTCTGAAGCAGAAAGTCTCAGTTGTTGCCAAGATGGGAGTGACGGGGTGCTGAGTCTGTGCGCTGAGCCAAGGTTGACTGACCTCGTGTTGCTTCCTGAACTTGGCAGCAGATTTGGGCAAAGTGTGCCTTGTGTCATGGGGCAGAGTATTGGGATTGTGTTGCAAGGTTTTGGTAGCGAGGTGGCTTCTGTGAGAAGATGCCAGAATGTTCTCCCCTGTCTCATTAGCTCAGCCTTGGTCAGGGGCTCTGTCAGCAATGGTGGAAGGGCCTCTCTGGTAACGTCTTTAAGAAAAAGGTAAAAGCTGCCGCAGAGCAACAGCCAGAAGAGAGGAAAACATGTGAGAGAAACAACTCCGCAGACACCAAGGTCAGTGAAGAAGAAGGGGGAGGAGGTGCTCCAGGTGCAGGAGCAGAGGTTCCCGTGAAGACTGTGGTGAAACAGGCTGTCTCCCTGCAGTGGGAGGACCCCATGCTGAAACAGATGGATGTGCCCCTGTGAGAGCCCACACTGGAGCAGGCTCCTGGCAGGACCTGTGGACCCACGGAGAGAGAAGCTCACAGTAGGGCAGGGTTTGCTGGCAGGACTTGTCATCCCCCCGTGAGGGAAGCACACTAGAGCAGCCTGTTCCTAAGGGACTGCACCCCGTGGAAGGGACCCGTGCTGGAGCAGACCTTGAAGAACTGCAATCTGTGGGAAGGACCCATGGTGGAGAAGTTCATGAAGGACTGTCTCCTGTGGGTGGGACTCCACACTGGAGAAGGGGAAGAGAGTGAGTGCAGAGACAACGTGTGATGAATCGACCGTTCCTGGTCCCCTTGCGCCGCTGGCGGGGGAACGGAAGAGGAGTCAGGGGTGAAGATCACAGAATCATGGAATTGTCAGGGTTGGCAGGGACCTTAAAGGTCATCTAGTTCCAAACCCCCCACCATGGGCAGGGACATCCCCCACTAGATCAGGCTGCCCAGAGCCCCATCCAGCCTGGCCTTAAAAACTTCCAGGGATGGGGCTTCCACCCCCTCTCTGGGCAACCTGTGCCAGGGTCTCACCACCCTCATGGGGAAGAACTTCTTCCTAACGTCCAATCTGAACCGATCCATCTCTAACTTCAATCCATTCCCCCTAGTCCTATCACTACCCGACATCCTAAAAAGCCCCTCACCAGCTTTCTTGTAGCCCCCTTGAGATACTGGAAGGCCACAATAAGGTCTCCTCGGAGCCTTCTTTTCTGCAGAGTGAACAGCCCCAACTCTCTCAGTCTGTCGTCATAGGAGAGGTGCTCCAGCCCTCTGATCATCCTCGTGGCCCTTCTCTGGACACGCTCCAGCACATCCAGATCTCTCTTGTGCTGTGTGTTCAGAAGATGAGCCTGGGCAGAAGGGAGGGGTGACAGGAAGGTATTTTAAGGTTCGTTTTTTATTTCTTATTACCCTACTTTGATTTGATTGGTAATAAGTTAATTTTCCCTAGTCAAATCTGTTTTGCCTGTGCTAGTAATCAGTGAGCGATTTCTCCCGGTCCTTGTCTTGACCTGTGAGTCTTTGTTACATTTTCTCTCCCCTGTCCGTCTGAGGAGGGGAGTGATGGAGTGACTTTGGTGGGGACCCAGCATCCAGCCAGGGTCAACCCACCACAGGCAGACTGTGGTTGTTTTTGCCAGGCCCCGGGGTGTTTTGTGCCAAATGGCGTTGTGTTGCAAAGGCTTAGGAAGGACGTGTGCCTCAGGTATTGAGCAGGTGGTGTTTGCCGAGACTTCCTCCTTCAGGAGGGAGCCAGTGCAAACCCTCTCATTCCTTCTTGCCCCTACCATCATCCGGAGAACAGAATAAGCATATCCAAGTGTTGCCTTAAGAAATGTTTTACGATTGCTAGTCCTGAACGCCAAGAGTTGTAAATCCAGAGAGGACTGTTGATAATATTTCTACGTTGTGTTTTTGAGAAGTGTTAAAGATCACTGAAGGATATTAAAGAAACATAGCAACAGCAGATTTCAGCATAATGTTTTGGGCATTCATTAGCACTTTGGGTAGAATTGGTTTTGCTGGTTTTTGTGTTGTTTGTGTTAATCTTCTAGTCAGCAGACAGAGCAGGGAAGGAACATTTTATGAAATACAAGGTGTAAATAACACTGTGGGGAGCTCAAGGTAGGGCTGGAATGTGATGTCAGCTTTTTGATGTCAGAGGAATCAGGCTATAAACTATGCCTGTTGGTGATGAGATGGTGAAGGTTGAACATCTGGATTTCAGTAGTTTACAGGCCCCTGGGGTGCTGAGGACGCGTCGCCATGGGATTTGCTTTTCGCAGACTGAGCAGAGCTACGGTGGATGTGCGGTGGTCTGAGCAGACCGACTGAATGGGCCACGCAGTTTTCTTGCACCTTCTGGCTGGTCTCATGGCGCCAGAGATGTGAGATGCACACTTAAAGGTGATGGGTCAAGAACAGGGAAAGCGTCAGGACTTGCAGTGTGGCCAAAATACGGCCCAGTGCCGAGCTTGTACCCCACTTTGTACCTGGGAAAAGCATTAACGTGGCCTCATGTGTGCTGCTGAGCAGAGAGAGAAAAGACACCTTGGGGAGAGGGTGAGAGTACTCTAGCACTAAAGACTGCTGTGATTAACAAGAGAGAAATCAAAGGCTGAGAGATGCAGTGGCTTCTTTGTGTCATGCAGTGCTGTGCTAGTGTCACTGTCTCAGGCTCTGAGATGTCCTTCCTGGTGGAATTTGAGGGTGGGAAGTGCCTTGACAAGCTGTTCAGTTCAGGTGTGCCCTGTGTTCTTTTCCAGATCAATCTCACATGTCTTTTGAGGAGCTGCTGCAGCTGCAGAACGATAAGAGAATGAGAGTGCTCAAGCGGGTGACCAGTGGGAGTAAAACTGTGAAACCTACCAAAGCTACAGTGAAGCAGCAACAAAGCAAAAAGGGGTAAAGAGGTTTTCCTGTGATCAGAGAAATGTGCCTGTGTTCTCACTTCCCTCTAGAAGTTACACTGAGAGCTCCTCGCAGTGTTGCCATTCCCTTGCTGCTGATGTAGGTCTCCTTTAATGTCCTGCACAATAATGCTTTTCACAGTAGCGTTTTATTTGGGAAAGGTCTGTTGCTGTTTCAGAGCTCTTAACATCCTATCCTGTTGAAATCCCCAGCAGCCACCTGTTACTTGGTAGTTAAATTGCCACTCAGTTCCTTTGCGTGCTCTCTATTGAGGCACTTTTAACCCACGGCTTCTCTTTTAAGCTGTACGGTAGTGCTTTTCTCTGGGCCCCAAAACGGTTGCCCTGCTGCTTTCTAAACCTCTTCCAGCGTATCAGCATCTTCTGCCTGGCTTCTGCTGGCAGGAGGGAGCTGCCAGTGAAAGCCAGTTGTTCTGGAATTTCATTCATCCTTCTGCTGTTGTCTCCTCTGTGGCTAGTCTTGCATTGATTTTCCTTTTTTCCTCCCCTCTACAGTACTTACCCTCACAGACTTTTTCCTGTCCTCAGCGCTCTTTACATCATCTCCTATTTGCATACTCTGTAGGTGCTATTGATGTGGAGACTATAAAATGTATTCGACACAAAAAAAGCTCTCAGATTTATTTTTTTTTTTAAACAGGCCCCACTGGTAACAACTATTATGCTATTACCCTTTATTTGCAGTAGTTCGCCAATTTTCAGTCCTCAGAGTCGTATCTAAGTGATTTGAGCAGGTTTCCTCTGTTACACTGGTACTCCCTAATGTATTTCTGAATCTCTGCTGAATACATGTTTCTTCTGCCCTGAATAGTTGATTAGAATAATGTTTCTGCTTTATTTTTTATAAAGAGTCTGGGGGATTTTGTGTAGCGCAACGTCTTCACACAGTGCCTCTATTTCTGCCACACAGTTTTGCATAATTCTGTTTTTATTTAATTCCCCTAATCCTTTAAGTGATGCATCAGTGTAAATCCCACGTGCTGTTTCGCTCGTGTTTCTGTTATGGAAGTGAGCTGCTTAAAAAAACAAAAAAAAAAGCCTTTAGGGGAATCCCCTGGAATTGAGCTGGCTTCAGCAATGCTGCATAAAGCTCACTTGAGAGCATTGTATGGGTGTAGCTGCATCAGCAGACACAAATACCCACCGAGTGCTGCCCTAAGTGGGATTTGGAAGACTTCTTTATGCCTGCAGGGTTATGTCCCTGCCCCAGCGTTACTGCGATGCTGACTACAGGTGTAATGCGTGGTGGGTACTCTCAGCCCGTGGCTCACAGGTCTTTTCACGGTTCTGATAACTTACCTGACGTACTGACAAAGTGCAGGGCACGGCATCCAAGTAATATCGAGGGAGTAATACCCTGTTCTGCCACCTTAGATCGTCGCTGTCATACACCTAAAGCATCAAGCTCTAAAGGCCTCTGTTGCAGGAACTTGTTCACTTAATTGGTTGTCACCATGGTCCTCGTGGTCCTGATTCACTGTGAAGTCTTTTCTGGGATACATACGATATTCCTGGGGGCTGACCTTGTCTTCACTTGCGTTATGGTACGATGTTGTGCTGAGCCTCGTCACGGTAGACTTGGCCTCTCTTTGTAACTACCAGAAATTCCCACCTTCGGTCTCGCCTTTCAGTGTCTTAGTCAAGAGCAAATGAGTTGGTGGGCCAAGAATAGAAGAGAGTTGTCGCATGATGAATGAAAAGGTGGAGAGGGAGAGGAATAAATGAGCCTGGCGCATTTACTGATGTGGCTGGTGGGTTTTTAACTGATACGCTGGGGCTGTATCAAGATTTGTGTAGGGTTGTTTTAACCACGCATTTATAGATCATTCAGCTGTAGTAGCTTTGTCTGGCTCTTGACTGAGTCCCCTTTTTGCTTTCTGTGGGTATCATGGTGAGGATTGCATGGGAGGATCTGCTGTTTCCTTTGGCACTGTGCAGGGATGTTCTTCTGAGGGTCTGGCTCACCTCCTGACACATGGTCTGGGCCTCATTCTATTCTCTGCTCCCCTCAAGTACATTTTTCTCTTCTTTTTCTTTTTCAGGCCATTGGAGATGTCTGCCAAGAAGCGGGTACCTTTTCTGCGACGAGTTGTCTCTGTTACAAAGAAGGTGGGTGCTCCACCTCCCCAGCTGGGGAGCTGACTTCCCTTTGTGATGCTTGTAGGGCACGGATGTGATCATGGGGCTGTTTCTGGAGGACAGGGCTTGGAGCGCTGTCTCATGAGCACAAGTAGTGCCAGCCAGTCTCTGGGAAGAGCAAGAGATTGGGTGCAGGAGTGGCTGCTCTCTGTATAACCTGCTGTCCTGCATAATGCACAGCTTGAGGCATAAGTTCAACTTCTGAGACTCAAGCTTCTCTAGAAAGATGTAACGGCTGCCATCGGTGATGGTTGCACCGACTGATGTAAGCTGTGGTCATTCTTTAGTAATAATCACATTGGAAGTTTGAATGTCCATCTAATTTCTAATCTGAATGTAACTTTGATGTATTGCTCCATCATCCTAATATGTACATTTCCACTGTTAGAGGCCTCTTTATCTCACTCAGTATGACTTAACCAGGTAATCTGTGAACATCTAGGTAGGTTTGAATTCCCAAATCCATCACCTTGACAACATGTGTTCAGCCAGCCCTTGGTCTGTGCGTTGCAGGTGTTTGGAGGTAGCGCTCATGCTGCTGTTCCTTGAATTGACTACTCCTGGGTGGTAGACTTGCACGTGGAAATACCTGTTTCTCGGTGGACTGGATGCAGTGAGGGACTTTGTGAGGGACCACCAGCTTCATTATTGGATTTGGTCCATGCCAACTGCTAATGTTTTCAATGGTGGGTTCATAGTGTTGCTAGAGAAGAAAAATGGCAAGGTCTGATCCACAGAAGGAAAATAAGCAGGGTATTAACAGGGTAATCCTAGCCACAGCTCATACCTTTGCATTCCCTGCCTTCAGGTCCAGCGAGACCCTCGCTTTGATGACATGTCTGGAGAGTATAAGCCTGAAATATTTATGAAGACGTACAGCTTTCTGGACGACATCAAGAAGCAGGAGAAGGAGGTGATGCTGTGTGCTTGTCCTTGGCCAGGAGGACCTTGCATGACAGGGGCAGCTTCCTCCAAGGCCTTTCCCAGTGGAGGTGGCAGGCAGGCAGTCATGCAGCTTTCTGCTCTCTTCTTCAGATGGTTCAGAAGCAGCTGAAAAAATGCCGGAACATAGAGCAGAAGGAGAAACTGCAGCAGCTCCTGAACCGGATGGTGAGTTCAGTGCAGCCTCTCCTCTCCTGTGAGGCGGTGCAGGATGTGTGACCCGAGGTTTGCCTGGACACTTACTGACACAGGCCATCCTTTCTGTACAGACACAGCAAGAGCAAGCACAGAAAAAACAGCAGAAATTGAGGGAGAGGGAGCTGTCTTTGAAGAGACGACAGAGGGAATTGGCCAAGCAGGGAAAGAAACCCTTCTTCCTAAAGAAATGTAAGTACTTGGTGTGAACATGCTGCAGGAAGACCTAGAGTGAGTATTGCTGACAGGACTCCAAGCACTGGAAGTGAGTTGTCCATAGTTTTCCACGGAGCTGTGGAGGAATTGTTCTGGTGCTGGTACTCAAGGGGCAAGCCAGACCTGGAGCCAGGGAGGGAGACGGAAGAAGAGGCTGGTCTGTAGAAATGACGTGGGCTTCAGGTTTAAAACCTTGCTCCCCTCTTCTCTACAGCCGAGAAGCGGAAATTGGAGCTAGCTGAGAAGTATGCAGAGCTGAAGAGGAGTGGAAAGCTGGAGAGCTTCCTGGGCAAGAAGAGGAAGAGGAATGCCATCAAAGACAAGCGCCGCCTGCCCTCGCAGAAGAGCTCATGACTGCTGGATGACACACAGGCCGTTGTCTGGCACCCGTACTTGCTCTGCGCTGGCCAGGCCTGGAAGATGGCCATGCCCCTTCCCCGTGCCTGCCATTCACTGTACAGCAGTGCTGTTCGCAGCAGAGGCTGAACTGAAGGAAATAGTGCTTTTGTAGCTGAAATGTCCCCTTCACTAGTGGTTTGCACCATGCCCGGGTGGTACTAAGTCTGTCATGCAGATGCACATGGTGTTAACATCTGGCTCTGCCCTTGCACCTGTTCATCTCTTCCTCTAGCTTGGAGAACACGAGACCTGCCCTGCATTGCTGGCTCTACTCCAGGTCTTGTCAGACACAAACTGATTTTTACTTTTTTGTCTTCCAGGAAACCTTGCCTGGTCTTAGTGCATAACCATTGTCTTGTTCTCAGAGAAGTGCCTGGCTCTGTCTTTTCAGTAGCCGTGTCATAGGTCTGGGGATGGGTGGTAAAGGGGTGCTGTTAGGTCTCCCCAAAGCCTTCTCTTCCTGAGTGTGAATAAACCCTTTCCTTGCAGTGGTCCAGCCTCCAACAACTTTCATGTCCTCAACTGGAGTCAGCCCAGGGGGCCAACATCTCTTTTCTGGGGGCCTAGCCTGGGTGCAGTCTCACAAGCACTGAGTAAAGGGGAGAAGATGACAACCCTCTGTGTGGGGGACACCCTGGTGATGCAGCCCCTGATGTGGCCGGCTGTCCTCGCAGCCAGGGCACGCTGCCGCCTGCTCAGGATCTCCCCAGCAGGGTTGCCTCACCTCGTGGTCTCTGCAGGGCTGTTAGTGCTTTCAGGAAGCTGATTCTGTATGAAATAAAATACCTCAGTTTTCCTTTATTCCCATTGTCAGTGCTGTTACACCCAAGAGTATTTGAACTTAGGGAAGTTAATGCTTCACCAACGTTACATTTGACCACCAGCTCTCTTGGTTCTCCTGACTGCACCTGCATCTGGTGGCTGTGCTGACCAGGAGAAGATGGGGACACGAGTGTGTGCTGGTGGAATGCCTCAGCTCTGCGGGCGGGCAGAGTCTTCCCTGGGCACAGCCGTGCTGGGTACAGGTGGACAGCTGGTGTGTGGGGCCAGGGGAAAGGCTTGCGGTGAGCAAGAAGCGGAATGATGAGCAACTCCGTCACACCCACCTGCGGGTGTTGCTGAAGCATCTGCTTCCACTGCAGTTCCTGTGGGTGATAGGAGTTCTGCTCTGGTGACAGGTTTTAGCGTAACTGGGGGAAGGTGGTGAAAATGGGATGTGCCAGCTTGACTAGAGACCGCATGGAAATCCTCGGCTGCCTTTAACCTGCATATGCCTTATTGCCTTGCGCTGCCTGTCTGCTTCCTCTTCCTCCTACTCCTCCAGCCTTGTGGTGTGTGATGCAGAGCCTGCTGCATTCTTGAGCTTTCAGAGGAGAGTTACCTTGGGGGTGGTGCGGCAGCACCACTGCCCAAAGCTATTCTGGACCCTTTGTGGGATTGGTCTGCTGTTTCATGCTCTTAATTTTTAATCCAAAACTGAATAAACCTCCTCCTGTACTTTAAAGTCAGAAGAGAAGAAGGCTGAGGCTTGGACAGGCTGGAGGTGGCTCACTCTTGTGTTGCTGTTGCCAGGATCTTGCTGAGGTCCCTTCCTGTGTCCCCATCACCAGAGACTGAGCCTGGTGCACCCCCAAAGTAGTCCTGCTTTCCAGCCCCTTTAGAGCAAAATGCCTTCTGCTGAGGCCTGTGTGCCTGTCTGCAAGGAGGATATCCTTGCTGCGATGTCACCTGCTTCTGTTCAGCACATGAGCTGTGAGGAACAAGTCTACTGGCCTGTCTCTCCCTGCCAGCTCCTGGGCCCAGCACCCTGCAGCAGGGGAAGCCCTGGGGCACTGCCCAGCTCAGCCAGTGTGGTGGTGGCACTGGGCACTGGGGCAGGTGGCAGCATGGCAACACCAGCTCCAACAGCAGGAGATGCTTCCAACACTTTGGAGAGCTTACTGCCACCAGGGGAGCTGCTCTTCCCTGTGGCCTCCCAGCCTCAAGGAGTCAGCTGCGTTGTTTTCCTTCTGTTTCTAATGCTCTCCTGGTGTGTCTCTGCCAGACCTGCTCTGGTGTCCTTTTAGGTGGAGCGTGGGGACTTGCTGTGGGTGTCCCTGGGGAGGGGTGCCAACAGGTATGGCCGGCACCAGTTGGTGTCACTGCAACTGGTTGCACAGGCAGCGACGGCTGACACTGCTACCGCACATGCTCCCCCAGTGACACCCTCGGAGCCTGCCAGACTCAGCGAAGACCTTGCCTCTCACAACTGCTGGCCAGGAGGAATGGCTTCAGACCCAGGTGCCTGCGGTGCTCTCCCCAGGCCTGGGTGGTCCCTGAGCAAGCCCCCTCACCCTTCCAAACATCAGGCACAGGAGACACAGATACTCACGGAAGCTGGAGGACCTGCCTGCTGGCAAGGACACATGCATGAGGAGGCTGCAGGGCTCAGGTCTTTTATTGCAAAGAGGAAGATACAAAAAAAGGACAGTCACTCCCCTGGGGCTCCCCCAAGCCTGCAACAGGCTGAAAGGGGGTAGCCCAGGCCTTATTGCCCCAGCACGGGGACCCCAGCTTACACAGCAGGGTGTGCGCTGCTGCTGAGCACCAAGCGGAGCAACAGCAGAGCAG